GAGGGAAGCAGCGTGTGGCAGGAGAGGTCTGCGCGCCATGTGGGACCCTCCTCCAGTGGCCGGGGAGCAGCTGGGGATGGAACCAGTGCTGCAGAGGCTGCGGGCAGCTTCACAACCCAGCGCGCAACCGCTGCGCCACCGGGAAGGCCCAGACTTTTAGCAAATTTGTACAAGTTTACACAGAGGAAATTGTAGTGAGGTTCATTTTCTTAGACCTCCTCATGAGATTTTGGATTTTATACATGGTAAAAAAAATGCATGTCTGATTGTGTATCATTTTAAAATACACATATTACTATTACTAATATTTAGATATTAGTTTTTTTACCATATAAAGAATACTTTATATACACACATACATACCCATATACATTTTAAACTTGTTCAAATTTATTTGCAAAATCAACTCTTAGCAACAAAGTTGCTGTGTCAAAGATTATGTGCACTATAATTTTGATACATAGTGTCAAACTGCCCTGCAAAATAGTTGCACTAATTTATACCCCTACCAAAAGGGTGAATACTCAAAATTTAACATTTACTAAATGTACAGTATACATAATAGGCTAACAGTATAAATGTATTAATGCTGAATGAAATATCTGGACTCCCAATTATCTCTATTTTAGGAAGCACACCGAGGGGCATTATGCCACTGTAACACTATGAAAAAGAATATAGGGAACTAAAGTTCCAAGTTGGTATCTAATGTCAAAGCAACCTTTAAATACTTCTCACCAGGGCCTCCCTGGTGGCGCAAGGGGTTAAGCACCACACTATGAAGCAATAGGCAGCCTCTGCAGCATGAGTTTGTCCCTGGCCAGGGAACTACCCACATGGCACAGCAGACCTCTCCTGACTCACCCGCTGCTCCCCTCAGCAGTATATTTCAGTCAGTCTGCCTGTTCTGTTCCCCCCTCTGTCTCCGGTGAATTCTCTCACCCCCCTGCAACTCTGGTCTGTATCCCAGCTCTTCTATGCATAAATAAAAATAAATGTTAAAAAAAAAAGAAGGGAACTCTAAATACTTCTCACCAAATTTAGACAAATTTTGTTTGCCAAAATGTTCACATTTTCTGAGCACTTCATATCTGCAAACACAGTTGTAAACAAGTATTACAAACAATGTGATCACTACTATGAACAGGTGGCCATGACTATCCATGAGCCAGGGCTTACGCCTGTCACCTGTGTCACAAATGAAGATACAGATGCGCATAGTATCACAGTGGCTTCCTCAGAGTTGGGGTTCAACCTCAAGCACCATGATCACTGAGCCTGTTCGTTTCTTAACCACTTTTACTTATTAATTTGGTTTGTACTGAAGAGAGCAAGGTATGTGTATGTTTAAAAATTAGTTTATAAGTTTCAAATTATATTTGGAGCAGGGCTTTCCCCATTCTCATTCCCTCAAGACTAAAGATAAGTCAAAGCAATTGGAAATGGAATGGACCTATTTCTGTAAGTGTGTCTCCATACCTACCTGTGTAAAGGATTGAGATAAATATATTAAAGAGTACCAACGTTATGTAATAACAATGATTAAAAAATAAAGGCTAATCTTTCATTATGTCCTACAAGAGAAAACAAAAAAGGTTTATTGTCTTGTCACCATGTTATTAACTTGTTAGAAGTGGAAACAAAGACTATTCAAAGATCAGGAAAACATAAGCAAGGTTAATGAACTTGGGATATTCAAGGCACTTAATCTTAAACTCCATTCTCAACACACTAAAAGACAAAGACTGGATTAAAAGGCATAGCAGATCATATTCTCATTCCAGCCACTTAAAATCCTAGAGTCAGCTCCTTTCTGTGACTCTAAAAACTGACTTCTGTCTACCTCTTCATCCACTTCCTAGTACTCTTCCCTTTGATTAAGCTGAAGTCACACTTGCTTTTCCCATTTTGAATAAGCCACAGAGTTTCTGCTATAAGATTTTCCTTCTTATTGTTCCCACTTCCTAGAAGGTTCAGATCCCTGATCTTGCTATGGCTATTCTTTTTTGTTATTCAGATCTGAACTCAAATAGCTCCTCCTGACTCTTAACCTCTCCAAATAAAGAAACTTCCTCTGCCCCAGTCTCTATCCCATTTCCTATTTTGTTACCTTCATAGTATGTTGTTCACTCTTAAAGTTAGTGTTTATTTATTGATTGAAGGCTTATGTAAAAAGCACAGAATAATGAGCAATTAAGATTATATATTAGAAAGTCATAAAGAAGTAGAATAAGATGACAATTCTGGTCGTACTATTCAGTTTCGGTGATACTGTAACAGGGTGGTCCCCAGGAAGGGGAAGGTTCCAGGTTTCCTGGCCCCCTCAAGGGAGGGTAGAGCTGAGCAGGGAGAGAAGAAGCTGCAGAGGAGACTGAGGAAGGAAGGAAGCAGGAGACCAGAAGGAGACATGGAGGAGGCACATGGAGCTGAGAGACACGTAAAGAAACTGCGCTTGCCTTTTGGTCCTGGACTGGGTGACACAGATGTGGGTGAGATCCGTGGGGAGGTGACAATGGCTGTTTTTGTCTTGATTTTGATTTTTCTCTTTTCCTTCCAGACTTGTCTGGTTGTTTCTGACCCTTTTCTGTGGGTCCCCACTGGAAAATGCTTTAGACTTGTGGCAGGCTTTGGGGCCTTGCTCTGGGCCAATCCGGCTTGGGTGGACTTTTACTCACAAGGGGATGGGTAACTTTGGGTACTTGATTTAGAAACTATATTCTTTGCCTTTCCAGTATTGTTTCCTAATTGTATTAAAGCTCCTTCCCATTAAAGTCTCATATGTTTTGTGTTGATGCAGCAGATGGCAGAACCTATTTAGAATAGGCAGGTTTGTGGGGTCTGGGGTGCCCCTCTCCCTGCTCTGAAACAATACCACAAATACAGGAAATATAAGGTGCTTGGAAAGTTTAAATGCACAAAAATGGAAAATTTCATGTGTGTAGCCCCAATGGCCTGATTCAATTAACATGTTTTGTTAACAGCCAATCTTTGGAGGGCATTCCCTCAGGGCCAGCTAAACTTTCTCCACTTTACATTCTTTTAACTTATTTATAACAATATAATTAGGGAAAAGGAAGATAACTGGTGAATAATCTACTAAAATTTCTACTTTAAATTCAAAGTAATTTCATTCCAAGTTAAGCTGGAAAATTCTTATATTTGCTTCACTTGGCAGAAAACTGGTCACAAAATTTTTCATGGCATCCTTCAGAAAACAGATTTCTTCCATTCAGAAATTAAAAAACACATTTTAAATCTTTAAATTCTTAGGCCCTGCCAATCTCTACCACAAATAAAACAAAGCTTATTGTGAGGATGCATATACTTCAAACACTATAAAATTAAAACTCCCCACTTCACAGACATAGTAACCACCTATACTGCTTTCCTAGGCATGTTAATGGCTTGGTTATTACGTGCATTTTCTTTTAATAAAGGTGTACTGCAGTTCAAGTTCAAACTGAGATAGGCAACTAAAATAGGAAAGTAGCATCTAGCTGTGCTCAGGTAGTCCTGGCCCACTCCTACTAGGGCTGAGCACGTCCTGCTCTTTCTTCCAATGTCTGTGGAGAAATGAAGCCAATCACTGGGCAGTCATAGTATTTGGCTATTTATATTTTTAGTAATCATTGATACCTTAAACTGAAAAAGGGGGGGTTCTAAGAAATAAAATTTTATTCAAGCCCAAACACAAAAAATTTATCCTATTTTTAGATATCAGAAGAAAATAAGTGTTTTAGTAAAATGTGATTATATGACTTATATCTAATGACCCAAGAGTTAATATAGACTCTGACTCAGTTATTTGAAAATGCTTCAAGACCAATAAACCTTGTGCAAGTCAGGACACTAAGCTTTGTGTAAGTATAGAATAGAGAAACACTATTATTTATTTTAATTTTTAAATGTAGTATTTTTTTCTTACATCACTGTTAATTTTTTTGACAATATATGACTTCTCATATATTGGTCACCATATTGTAGTCACCAGAGTTCTTCTACCACCAAAGCACCCATCACCATATTCTCCAAGAAACATTATTATTTTAATGAAAATCAAACATTTTGAAAGGTTCATTCTACACAGATGGGAGAGTCAAAAAATTCCATTTCCTCCTTCTCTTAATTTCTTTTGAATTGTCAAATGGTAATCAAGACTTCCTACTGAAGTCAGACAGAAAGGAAGTAAATATAAATAGTCAATATAGCCTTTGGGAATTGCTTAATTTCTTGCCCCCACGCATTCATAACCCATCAACTGATGTTAACTTGCTGACATCAAACTTACACTGATAATACTAAAAGAAACCTACCAGAATGACCAGGCTTACATGTTACTTTCATGCATAATTATCAGATAACACATAAAAATTTCTTCCCTGAAAAAACCTAAAAGGACAAAGTTCATTTAATAAAGGCACAGTTTTATACCAAATAACTTTGTTAAAATGGATAATATATATTGTGAGATCATATTAAACAAAGTCAATGCAATCCACACCTTACGAATTATAACAAACAGCCAAAGGAGTTGTAGGAATGTACTATCGAGAGGAAAATATTGAACTTAGCTTAAATAGATATAAAATAAAGAAATCAGGATTTCAAACAAAAATATCACTGATGTACCTTTGATGAACTATCCATTTCTTATTATCCTAAAATTACAATGTCTCCATCTGTTAACCTGACATGAACAAGCTGATAAATGAAATCAGAACAACAGTGTATTCTGGCAAACCTAGAAATTTCCTGAAATCCTAGAAAAACATGTCCACAACAGATGGATCATTTAGAAAATAAATACATCAATCTGTCAGAATGAGTATGGTTCTAATTCTCTAAATTAAAATCAGTAGGAGCACCACTATCCAAGAGTCGGTGACACTAGGAAGGCCAACGAGGACAAGTCTCAAGATGCGCACAACATTCCTGACAGAACCGAGAGTCTGTACAGTTAGCTTTCCTGTTAATCATACTAAATTGAGGAAAGTCCTTACCAGTTAACTTCTTCACAGGTTGGAGCCGAACACTGATAGACTGATGTGTGAGTAAGGGGGAGGATGGGAGAGAGCGAGACATGCCCTCCATGATCCGAATGTGCTGCATACCTTCGCTCACCGGAAGTGGAGGGACGGCATAGTCTGGCTCAAAAGCACAGTCACTTTCTGTGGAGATGCCACCTGTTGGACAGAAGAGGATGGAAGAAAGAGCTGGTAAGAAAAGAGACTTCCTTCTCTATTCCACTATATCTTTTGGGATGACTCAGAATGGCATATTCTGATAGTGATTTTCACTGTGAAAAGACAAATAAGGTTATGCTCAACATATACATTAATTTCTACACTTACTGCATACACTTACTCCACCCTGAGCACTAGCAAATTGGACAGGATTTTTTCTTAGAAGGGTCTCATGACCCTTCTAAGAAATAATTGCTCATGTTCCATGAACAATACAGTCTTTTAAAAAAATACAGTCTTTAAACAGTCTTTAAAAAAACAATTGTCTTTAAAAAAATACAGCAGGATTAGAGCAATGGTCTTCAAATTTTTCCCGTAAGATAAACATGAAAGAAGATATTCACTAGCTTGACAATTCAACACATGCAACTGCTAACAGGATCATAGTAGCTCTATTTCTCACTCTCTTTCCCAAGAATGTATGTAAAAATACAAATGTGTACGACTGACATTATTATATGGTGATCTTTGAATCTGCTCTAACTTTTTAAAAAGAGTATGTCCTTTGCTATTTATTTCCACTTGCATTTTGATGACTTCCACTTCTGGTAATGGCAGAGTATGTGCTTTACACCAACTTTTCCCTAAGAAAAACCAAGAATATGTGTGTATACACACATTACACGCACACACACACACACACACATATCTAGCACCTCTCTCCCTATATATATATAAAAATATAATATATATATTATATATACACAATAATTTGCTCCCAAAGCACTGAGAATTAACAGTGTGAGGAAGAATTACAAGGAGAAAACTGCAGCCTGGAATTGGGGCTACTTTTTACTTAGTGACAAATGAGAGGATAAGAAGCTTCAGAGAGTTGGAATAAAAAGTACTGGAGTGCAGGAGAAAACTAAGGAGTGAAGGAGAAGCCAGTAAAACTCCAACAGTTTTGTTTGGAAGCCCAAAAGCTATACTCTAGGAATAAAACAAACCCAAACTAGACCACCCTTTATAGCTCAGCTCCAAATGGCAACCACAAAATTAAGGCAATCTTGGATTCCTAGTGTCTGCCATAAACAAATCTTTCTTAGAGGAAGACACTATCATCACAGGTCTCAAATTATTTCTACATTTTTTCATATACAATATCTAACCTTTAATTAACAACAACAAAGAGATCAGATAAAATAAAAAAATTAGAAAAATCATGCAAAAGAAATATTCTTACAGGGGATACATATTATGGAATGATGAGGCACTACATTTAAAGTATTATTCTTAACTTCAAAAAGATGAAAATATTTAGGAAAGAATTTAACTGGGAAAATGAAAGATCTGTACACTGATGAAAGAAACTGAAGGAACAAATAAAAATCATACTGTATTCATGGAATAAAAGAATTAATGTTGTTAAAGTGTTCTTCCTACCCCAAACAATCTACAGTGTCAATGTAAATATCTATCAAAAGGCCAATGTCATTTTACATGGAAATAGAAAAATAAAAGCCGTACAGAACCACAAAAGACCCTAAATAGAGAGCATAATCTTTTTTAAGATTTATTTATTTATGCATACAAGAGCTAGGGTATAGGCCAGAGATGCAGGGGGTGAGAAGATTCACCAAAGACAGTGTGGGGAACAGAACAGGTAGACTGACTGAAATATACCGCTGAGGGGAGCAGTGGGCGAGACAGGAGAGGTCTGCCTTGCCATATGGGTTTCTCTCAGGCCAGGGATCAAACTCATGCTGCAGAGTTGTGGATTGCTTCATAGTGCAGTGCTTAACCCCTTGCGCCACCAGGGAGGCTGAGAGCACAGTCTTGAACAAGAAAAACAAAGCTTGATGTATCACACTACCGGATTTCAAATTATATTACAAAGCTATACTAATCAAAACCAATTTGGTACTAGCATAAAAACAGACACACAGACCAGCGTAAAGAACCTAGAAATAAATTTGCATAAATATGGTCAACTAATCAACAAGAACACACAAAGAGGAAAGGATTCATTTCTTCAATAGTGGTAGGAAAACTGAATAGACACATGTAAAACAATAAAAACTGGATCCTTATCTTCTATCATACATAAAAATCAACTGAAAATAGGGTAAAAGACTTAAACCTAAGACCTGAAACCATAAAACTCCCAGAAGAAAACAGGGGAGAAGTTACCTGAAATTGATCTTGGCGATGATCTTTTAGATTTGAAAACAAATGCATGGGCAACCAAAGCAAAAATAAATATGTGGAAAGTGTGTCAAGCTGAAAATTTTCTGCACCACATATTCTTGAAATATGTGTGAGAGTACATGTGTGAGAGTACATGTGTGAGAGTACATCTCAAGAGTTCTCACCACACTCACAAAAAAAGGTTAACTTTATGAGTATGATGGTATCTTTGATAAGTTTGATTGTGGTAATCATTTTGCAATGTATATGTTTATTAAAATGTGTTGTATTCTTTAAATGTATGCAATTTGTATTTGTCAGTCATATCTCAATAAAGCTTGGTGGGGCAGAGGGAAGCGGAGAATTGAAAAACTAAGAACATGGTTTCACATGACATGATGATAATGTGGTGGGAAGTAAGACCAAAGCACATGTCTTCTTCAAGGCTTCTGACTATGTTACAATTGTGTTTCATCATATGTAATTCCAACTCATTAAAAAAAATTGCTGCAGAATATCATGTACTATAATTTAACTAGTCTCTTGTTAATGGCCACTTATGCCTGCTTTCTGTAGTATTTCTGTAGATTCTAGAACAAAAATTACTCAGATTGGGGGGAAAAAATCTGTAAATCATGTATCTGATGAAAGTCTAAAACAATTCAACAACAAAAAGACAAAGGATACAATTTAAAAATGGGCAAAGCCTTGAATAGACATTTCTTTAAAGAAGATATACAAAATGGTCAATAAGCACATGAAAATAACTCAACATCATTTAGTCATTACAGAAATGCAAATTAAAGCCACAAAGGGTAATACCTCACACCCAGTAGGATGATTAAAAAAAAAGAAGACAACACACACAGGCAAAGTTCTCTGTAAAAGAATTTAATTGTCACTAGAGGAAGGGGGAGGGTGGGGGATGGAAAAGCAAGGCAGAGGGGGTGCTGGGAATGGGTGGTTTGGTGGAGGGTGAGTGGAACATGTGGACATATAGAAGTAAAACTGTAAGCCCAAAATTATGAAAAAAAAAAACTTTTTAAATAAATGGACAACAAAAAAGCACTGGTGAGGACATGGAAAAATCACAATGCTCATACACGGCTGGTGGGAATATGAGGTACTACAGCTGCTGCATGAAATGGCTTGTGGATACTCAAGAAGTTAAACACAGAATTGCCAATAACCTAGCCATCCCCAAACTGGCAAAAACAGATTTTCAAGAAAAACCTGAAAATGACTGTTGATAGCAGCACTGTACATAGAAGTGAAAAAAGCAGAAACAACGCAAATGTCATTGACAACAAAATGTAGTTTATATATAGAATGAAGTGTTATTTAGCAATAAAAAGAATGGGGTCCTGATTCATGTAGAGCAACGATAAATCTTGGAAATATGCTAAGTGAAGTCAGACACAAAAGTCCACATATTTTATGATAACATTTATACAAAATGTTAAGAGGCAACTCAGAAAAAAAGAATAGGGGCTTTCCTGGTAGCGCAGGGGTTAAAGTCTCAGAGCTATTAAGCTATCACCAGGCACTGCAGCATGAGTTTGATCCCTGGCCAGGGAGCTACCCACATGGCGCAGCATACCTCTCCTGTCTCGCCCACTGCTCCCTCCAGCAGTGTATTTCAGTCAATCTGCCTATTCTGTTCCCCACTCTGTCTATGGTGAATCTTCTCACCCCACCCTCCCGCACCTCTAGCCTGGCCCCCAGTTCTTGTATGCATAAATAATTAAAATAAATCTTTAAAAAAAAAAGTAGAATAGTGGTTTACAAGGACTAGGAAGGAGGAGGAATAGAACTGACTGCTTAATTTGTACAGGGGTTCATTCTGGGATAAAGGATTAGAGCACAGTGATGGTTACATAACACTGTAAATGTACCAAAAGTCACTGAAATATTACTTTAAAATGGTTAAATTTTTACTTCAACAACAATATTATGTAGCTATTTAGTACCTACTCACATATTTACTCAAATCAGAAGCCTAAAAATCACTAATTCCTTCCCATCACGTCCCTTTGCAACAAATGCAATAGCAGCTCCACAGATTACCAACCTGGGTTTCAGATCTGTCCTGTTTTCTCCATTTTTCCTACTACTACCAATGTACAGATTATCTTCCCCCCTAACTTCTGCTGGCAGACATCTAGGGTTTATTTCTATCATTGGATTTCAGAATTTTTACCAGGATGCGTCTTAACTTTTTTCTTCTCACTATTCTGTAGGTTCTTCTTTTACTGTGCTAATTTCTTTTTTCCAACTATTCTTTTTTCTCTCTCTGGAACTATGATCAGATGGCTATTGAACCTGCTAAATCTATTCTTCCAAGTCTTCTTCTCTCATAATAGATTTCCAATCTTTGGGCCTTTGTGAATAGACCTGAGACTGACTTACATGGAATTAAAGTATTTTACAAGTTTACAAAGAGGCATACCATTAGTTCAATTACTTACCTGAGGCATCCTTTTGTTAATAAAAGGTGGTATTAGATGTTTTAAAATGTACTATACCTAGAAGAACGCATTTGGTTTACTGAAGCACATCTTCTCACTTGAAATGTTCCATGTTAAAACTCAGCTGATAATTTTAGAATTCAATAATACTCCTTAAGGAATAATACTGCAATTAGTCTAATCTGGATGCCCTAGTTTACTTTTCTGCTTAAAAATATTTCCCTCCATCTTCTCTGTCCTATAAATTGTGCTTGAACTCATTACAGCTATAGAGAAAAAACTAAAAAATATATGTTTAAAGTAAAGTACTAGTAATTCTGCACAAAACTTAACCATATTAGTTTT